CCATGCCACTTGGAGGATGAAACTGCTTGCTCCCCTCTCAGACAATCAGGAAAGACCCGACCTCAGCAGGGTTCTCATGTCACCTCTCCCACTGTGACAGTGACTCCAGCCCTGGAACCTGATGGTACCACCTGCGTGTAGCACAGTTCTGACCACCTCAGTTGTCTAGGAAGTTTCTGTCTAGGAAGAGACCTGATACTCAAAGACATGAGTGTCACAAGTGCCCTACAAGTTTCCTAATCCACACTTCCTTGTGACCATTTCCTTTCATGGTGGCACTTGAAACAGTGTCATACAATTTTCCTGTCTCTAACAACTGTTGGTAAGGAGTCCTTGACAGTCTTTTCCAATGTCTTTTCACAAGTTCCAAGTTAACTTAAACAGGAAAACTGTGCTTTTTAGAATGCTGTGTTTTCCCCAGTCTTTTCCACTTTTCCCACCAAGTTGACACAGCACTACCTTCCCGACCTCCATCTCTTCGTTCTTCCTTCCTTCCTTCCTTCTGTACTTCCATACTTCCATCCTTTCTTCCTTTTTTCCTGGGAATGTTAGTTAAGGGGGTAAAATATTGCAGCTTTTTAAACAGTGATGTGGTTTCCATTACATTCAACCCTGTCTCCTTCCATGGTCTCTGGATGCTCAAAAAATATTGAAAATAAATTTTAATTCTTTTAGAGATGTTTTCCTCTGGGGGCTGGGGTTGGACATCCTCAGGGTAAACCTTAGGAACTCAACATAAACACTCTGGTTTAGAAAAGGCACTACCTAAAAATTAAAGTATACATAAATATGCCTAAAATCTCTCTCTCTCTCTCTCTCTCTCGACGTGTGTGTGTGTGTGTGTGTGTGTGTGTGTGTGTGTGTGTGTGTGTGTGTGTATGTATGTGTGTATGTGTGTGTCCCGGGCCTGCACCTGTCACCCAGGAGAATTCATCAGGGGCCCTGTAGATACATGTGCTTGCAGGTATTGGACCTTTCCAGCCTTTCTTCCTTTTGATATACTTTTCCATTTGAATCTGATTTTTCCCTTTGATATTAAGCCAAAGAGATGTGTAGTCCTCCCTGGACCCTGCTTAGTTTTCAGGTATCAGTGTCCTTTGTCAGATGAGTGTTCAAACATTCAGAAAGAAAAGAAAGCTGTTTATTTAACTTTCTGAGGGATGTGCATTATCATAAGATGCCTTATCCTGAGTCTAGAACTTGGCATTCTCCTCCAATTAAGCAAACTAGACATTTGACTGGTGGTTTCAAGAAGCAGATCACTTTTCTACTTTTTTTTCCCCTATGGTAATAGCGAAATTCTGATTCTAAGAAATGAAGTGAAAACACTAAGAAATAACTGAAGATGCCACGCTGACCTAGACCACTCCAGAAACTGTGCTCAAAGTATCCCACACTGTGAGAAGCAATAGGAGAGAGGCTCTATGGCTGAGCCACTTTTTGCAAAAGGGAAAATAAGATAAGGAAAATGTTAACATAGTAAAAACAAAGGCCCTTCTTTTAGGATCTCAAACATAGAGTCTCTTTAGATTGTTATTTTGACTTATCTGACAAGCATTTTCTCCAGTCTATAAGTGGATACTGTTTAGCCTACTGTAACTACTACCTATTTTCCCTGGAAAAAACTTAGTGTCAGCAAAGGCAGAGGAAAGAGATGCAAGTATGAGACACAAGGTTCAGTGCACTCTCTGGAGAAGAGGCACCCTTTGTTTTGGGGAAATACTGAGAGTATAAATTGATAATTCCAGAACACAGATATGAATTCATATCTGGATTTTAGTTACAAACCTCTACAAACTGTGAAGTCATTTGGAGCTGTTTGGTGGTGGTATGCTTGGAAAAAAAACATAGGGTGAAAGAAGTTGCCAGAACACCTGTCCATTTTTCATTGTCTTCCAAGTATAGTGTTAGCAGACAGACTTTCATAGAGAAAGTGGAAGGTGATTAAAATTACTGGAGTGTCTATAAAACACTTTTGTTCCTTGCCCCTTGAACTCAAGGGGAAGCAGTGTCCAGCACATTCCTCCCTCTACTCCTACTCAAACTTGAACTCTAAACTGAAAGCCTGCTCCTCCTTACATGGCCTGACAGCCCATCTCTTTGCAGCTTTAGTTACAAAGCCATTTAGAGAATTCACTGGCTTAAGGACAAACAGCAATGTATGTAGACAGAACAGTTTAGACAGACAGAAAGACATTGGTAGAAGGGTTGTGCTCCCCCTCTCCCCTCATTGTTAAAGTAGAAAAGGAGCCCAGCTCTCCAATGTGGGGCAAGGTGGTTGCCCCCACCTGGACGTATCCAAGTTTTCCCAAGACCCAGACAGGGAAAGGGATATGCTAACTCTCTGTCCAGCTGGAGTTTTCCCTAGCAAGAAACTTGGCTAAAGTGGCTGATGGGGATTGATAAAAACAAATGCTTGCAGGGACTTACATGTTGATAAGAAGGCAGACTCAGAAGACTTGAGTTCTAGTATGTTACTTCAGCACATTCCTGGCTGGAGAAAGGAGCAAGGGGGTTGTCAGAAGTCTCCCCTGATAGTGTTTACAGAACTTGGAGATTTGACAAGCATAGCATCAAGTTCATTGTTCTTTAAGCAGGAGGTGTGGAGTAGAGGAAGCAGGAGTTGAGAGATGATTATCAAGTTTTGAAATTACCATGTTAGCTCTTTTGCACTTTCTAGTTTGCCCCCCCTAGGAGTTGGTGGGTATTTTGGAAGGTGCTGTCCCTTTTACCTATAGAGTAATACTAAATCATGTGTATATGGGAGGGTGTTTTTAATGGCATTTAGAAGCAGGTAGCCTACATGTCACAATGTTTACAAGATCCATTTCACTTTGTTTATTTTTCTACTTCTTTTCAGTTTTCAGCATCCCATACATTCATAAAACTTGTGACAGAGAGGGATTTCTTATTTTTCAAATTGTTTTCAGACATTTCATGTTCATGAAATCCTATTGATTTCCTGATTTGTTCCTTATTTTTTTTTGTTTTCTCCATTTTTTTATTTAATCAGCTACATCCAATGGGTCTTTGGAAGGCCTGCATAACCAGTAGGGAGGGGTGTGCCAGACAAGAGCTATGAAGATCATCATGAAAGTTGGACAAGGTAAAGATCAACTGCTGCTTTGTGACCCCACTGTGAGCTGGTATAGCCCACAGCTAGCATGGCACCTTGGGTGATGCTCACCATCACTGCTCTTGTTAGTTTTGAAGGCAGACCCTTTTCTGTACTTTGAACCACTGGTAGAGTCCCCCAAACTGACATGCTCATATTTTCTCATTTAGATCTGTCTAAAAGTTCAGGTCAGTGAGACAGGGTGTCTGTGTGCTGCCACAGATATGTATATATCTCTTTACAATGCAGAACACTTCTTTGAAAAACAATCAAAGTGCCTAGTATGCAAACACTGGCTCTGCTGATTTGTTTCATTTTCAAATCTGGACAAACCAAGATAGGTTTTCACATAGAATAACCTATTGTAGAAACAAAGAATTATTCTAATTATAGAGTAGTATAGCTGTCAATCAACTTGCTTAGTGAAATTGAAATGTCATCTGGAATTATTTGACTGCCAAATGCAAGAATCTCTATAGTTTGCACAGATGGCCTCCTAATATGAACCTAACAAATAACTAGGATAACCATTCTGATTAAAAAAGAAGGTTATATTCTTGTATTTCTCAGTGCTTTGCATAGAGAGTCTTATGTTCATTGCTGTTCATGCCTCTTGAGATATCTTTGCAACTCCTGAAGCTTGCTACATTGTCAGACGTCTGTGCCATGATTAATCACTTCTTCTTCATGTAGATGCAAGTCCTGCTGGATCAACCAGGAATAATGATCCAACAAGACATCCAGAGCTAGAAGCTGGTACAAACGGGAGATACTCAACAACAAGCCCTTTTGTGAAAACAAATCCAGGGACAGCAGTGTGGAGGGCCTGTGTGTCTATGGGGTGTATTTTTCTTAGAACCCCTAGAGGAAGAGGATCCTCAAAACACATCCCAACCAGTGGGATTCACTCATGGGCACAGATTCCTGGTGTCTTTACTCCCAGTGAGTCAGTATTAACTCTGCCACTAAGACAGATTAATTCAGTCCGTTCAGTGTTTTACAGTCATAAAAGCAGAGCTTACCAGGTGTGTCAGTTACTGATGCATCCTGAAGTGCTGAAACTAGGGAAGTTCCAGATTGGCTGTCCTGCCTTTAGGAAGTGATTGGCATGGTGAGTGAGTGTGGGAACTTTGAAGCTCCTTCACCTCATCTGGTGATCTGTTGTCCAGTTCACCCTGTGAGTTGAGCATTGGCCATCCTTTCTTGTTTTCATTTGGAGCGATCGTTGTGCAAGCTCGAGGGCAGAATCTCAGAACCACGGTAACTGGCTGTTCTTGCTTCTGTGCAGGTATCAGCACCGAAGGCACAGCATGGGGCATTTCGGGGACAATCATTCCGGGAACAATCTGGGTTCCAAAGTGGCCTTATTCGCAGGAATCACATCAGGATGCATCATCTTCATTGTCATCATCATCACCTTGGTGGTACTGCTGCTCAAGTACCGCAGGAGGCACCGCAAACACTCTCCACAGCACAGTACCACACCCAAGCGAGGTGGCAACAACTATGGCTGGGAACCCAGTGATGTTCTCATACCTCTAAGAACTGCAGATAATGTCTTCTGCCCACACTATGAGAAGGTCAGCAGAGACTATGGGGACCCAGTGTATTCTGTACAGGAGATGCCCCCACAGAATCCTGCCAACATTTACTACAAGGTCTGAGTGCTGGGACCTTCACCTCCCAAGGGAACTCTCACCTTGTTGTGGGCGCAGGGACTGTCTTAGCCTGGCTCTGGGGTCGGAATGCCTCCTGGAAGAGCCTGGAGATGGACAGTTTTGTAGCCTGTAGCTTTTCAGGCTTGGGGAACCACAAACCCTCCCCTGAAACTGGAAGACTACTAAGAGATCCCCACTTGGACTGGGACCTCTATGCTATGCACCCAGCCAGGCACTCAGGACTCTGCAGATCCAGGGGTGGTAGTCTATGGGTGATGCAGCAGTATCTTAGGAGAAAGTTACACCTCTGTCTCTATGTTTCCTGCCATGCCCACTGGACTTGTCACTCAGACATTGGGTAACCTCAGTAAGGTAGCATTTAGTCCTCACTCCTTCTGTTTCCAGGGCTCTGCAACACCTCCCCAGACCCCTCACTCCACATCCTGTATCATTAAGGGACCCTCACCACCCAGCCCTGGGCCCATCCTTTACACCAAGATGAGATTAAATGGGTATTATGTACAGAATTCTGCTTTCCTGGAGGCTTGGGTGGGTTTGCTGGGAAAAACCTGGGAGGTGTGGCCCAGTGAGGAAGGTGGTGGCTACCACCGCAGGTGGCATAGTGGGGAAAGCAAGAAGGAAACAATAGATAGTGCTTTGGTTTTGCTGAGAGGAAACAGGAATGTGGGAGACTTCAGACTGGGAGAGTCTGTCTCCTTTGGGAAATGGTTTAAGCAGACTCAGCTGCTGTATTACCACATTTTAATCACCACAGGGAGAAATCATTTAGGACAACAGCAGAGAGCCAAATCTGACCTAGAAGTTGAAAAGCCAAAGGTCAAACAGGCTGTAAGTCCATCACCACTGAGGATATTGGGAAATTTTCATTAGGAAAGGTTGGTCAGATTCACCCAGTCCCCATGAGAGCCCCTCCCACTCTCCGATTGAGCCTTACACTTTGGTTTTTGTTTGATGGCTGTGCTGTCTGGGCTCTGAGGCTCTACCCGGGCTCCATGTCAAAGCAAAGCACATATGGCACACCCCTAAGAGTCCTTAAGATGGAGGTAAAGTTATGATGTCAAGGGGAA